CTTACAGCACTTGGTATTCCCAAGTGGCCACCCATCTAGGCACTGATCAGGCTTGACGTTGCTTAAATTCAGTGATCATATGGGAACTAGTATCTCAATGTGGTGTAGCCATAAGCCAGATGGTTTTACTGGTGAATGCTAAGAATACCATGGATAAAACATGTGTGCAATGAGGAAGTCCTGAAGAGACATAACATGTAAAAGAAGATAGTCCTGCCTAGAAGTTAGGTTAGAACAAGACTTTACTGCTACTTGAAGAATATCTACCATAAAGTGAAATGTATAATCATATTGATCCTTCAACAGAATAACATTAGATACATTTTGTGTATATCTAATCCTAGCCCCTCCATAACCGAGCAAAGCAGATAGTTTTTTGTTGCCCCTGTCACAATATTTTGGCAATTATACTCTCCAGCTATCCCAAGTGCCTGTCATGTACAATAGTTTAAAAAAAAAACATTAAATGAAACCCTTTATTTTATCCACAGTACTTATAAAGTCTTATATTTTCCTATGAAAGATAATCAGATGCTGTGAATTATTCTCTATGGTACTTTTTTAATCATTTCATCCCAAGCAAGGCAATAAAGCCACAAAGACGCAAGGAGTTATTGAGTGTTAGAGAATATAAGAAAAAGAAAATATTAAGAAAGAACAATAAAAGAACAGAAATTAAGAAGATAAAAGAAAATGATTGACATTTCTCTGAAATTTTTGAAGATCAAAGTTGACATGAAAGCAAGAAGCTGGAAGAGAGTTCCACAAGTGAGAAGTGTAAGAGAAGAAACTTTAACATAGAACTTACAGTTCCAACTAGCCATTTCAACTGTACTATCTAGTACTGCACTTAAATTCATAAAGCCCAGATACCATAGAGGAAAGTTCATCGGAACAATTACCATGAAAATATTTACAGAAAAAATATTTATATTTATACTGAAACATCTTTGTCTTATGCCCCTTTCAATGTATTTTTATGTATTTGCAGAATTTATTTTATATCCTTTGGCAGGTGGTTTGTTTGCAGTATAAGTTCTGTTTTATTCTGTGTCCTGCCTAAATAAATCAAGTTTGCCTCACAGTTTTAACAGTGCTTTGTGATATACCTTCTCAAAACACTTTTGCATAATCTATAAAACATAGGTACACACCTGACACAAACAAAAAGGTCTGGCTACAGCCTCATAATAAAGGTAAAAAGGTTACTAGATCACTAATTATAAATACATTTAAAAATTAAATCAAATCTTAGAACAAAAAAAACATCTTCACCTTTTTTCTCAAAATGTAAAAAATGGAATTTTAAAATAAAATTGAGAAATAAAAACAAGCCAACACTATATTTTGTCTAACATCTTTGCTGTACAAATAAAAAATAATAATTTCAGGTGAGCTCGTCCATTGAGTGCATGACTAAGTCAAAAGATAGATTAAAAGATGTTATTAGGATAATTACAGAAAGTTTAGAGAAGCAGTGTAGCCTATAAGATGTTTTATATTTTTTAAATGTTTTTATTACCATCAAGAGTTTGACCTTTCTGACCTTAACAGTAGCTTTTAAATTTGACTATAATATATAATGTCTTCAGAGTAATCTGTGTCCTTTTTCCTATAACAACAATACTCCAGTGCTGCAACAAGCCTTATGTTGTAAGAGGCTAAATGAAGTGACCCCTAATTCCCATCTATCTGACTACTGCACACTCACTACTCTCCCTGATTACCTTTGCACTGAAACAGGCAGATCTATTAGATATCAACATATTTACTATTGTCTACCTGAAGCCCAATTAGACTGTATACGTTGCCTTTAAGATTACCTACCCAAGTGCATAATAACACTTGATCTACAGGAAAGAAGTGGCCTCTTGACTTGTGAATCTCCGCCTCCATGTTCAGCAATATAGTGAACAGGAAGATTGGTCACTCATTATTAAAAGTATGACACTTCAGGGGCATTTTTTTAAAACTGTGTTCATGTTCTCCTCCCTATCCAACCAATCCCCAGTCTTCGCATCATAGCTAAATTTTGTTGTCAGTTATGCTACTGGTCAGAAATAGCGCACCCAAATTAGCAAGGGTAGTAAAGACATGGTGAAGTGGTGGAGTTTAATGTCAACTTGTATTAATGAAAGAATTCAGTTAACTATCTAAAATACCCACTCCTTTTTCTTCTTTTTTCATAATAAAACTTTGAACTACTTATGTAAATCTGACACAAGGCTAATATTTTTATGCATTTAATCAAAATTATTAAATTTTAGGCCCTTTAGAAAAATGAGTTATATATCTCTGAGAGATAATAATGCCATTATTTTAATCTGATGGTAAAATTTAGCAACTTACATGTTTTATTAGTTTTTATGACTATAAAAATTTGCAGAACAGTACATTATCAAAGTAGCAAGATCTTTATCTGTGAAAAGTTTACCTTTTCTACTCTCAGTATATTAATATACATACATTCCCTTTCTCTTGTATACTCACAAACACACACATATATATATATATGAAATGGACAAAGTTCGACAATTATTTCTTTAAGACATTTTTTATGTTTATATATTCTTTTTTTATAGATACAAACGTTTAAGTAAATGCTCTGTTTATAATAAACAGTATTAACAACATTTACCTGAGGACGCATATTTTCTATGAAAATTTCTTGGACATTTAAGCCGGCAAATGTTGTTAATACTGTTTATTATAAACAGAGCATTTACTTAAATATTTGTATGTATAAAAAAATATATATATATATATATATATATATATATATATATATATATATATATATATATGTATGTATGTATGTATATATATATATATATATATATATATATATATATATATATATATATAGAGAGAGAGAGAGAGAGAGAGATCAAACATAGAGAAATGTAAATTTTCTTTTGTCTTATTTTTAATGCATAAAATTTTGATAAGAAGTTATGCAATACATGTTTCAAGAATATGTTCAAAATGTAAATAAAATGTTCACAGTAATATTTCCCAACTTGGTATTGAATTGAAATAATATCATTTTTAACCATATCCTTTTGGTGTCAGTTTAAACTAACACCGATATTTTTATATAAGTGTCATTATAAACTATAATTTTGGAAAATGTGAATATGTTGGAATATTTCTAAGCTTTCATCTGAAATCAAGAAATTATGAAATTTAAAGAAAATGGGTTAAATATATGGAAAAAAAAAACAAATATGGGTTAAAGACATAGCTTAAGGTTGGATTAAAGTAAAAAACAAAAATCTGTTTAAAAACAGAAATCATGAATTATACTCTGTAAGTAAAATGAGAGAAAATTGCCTGCAGAACAGGCAATAAATTATTTTGAGATAATTAAAATTAAGCATCAGATTAGTGCTATAATAAAGACTGGAATACAATTTAATATTGGTGTGGTGTCTGGAAAAAAGGTGAGATATAATTTAACCATTGCATCATTTGGATTCATGAGAAACTCTCCAATAGTAAAAATTACAGCAATGGAAATGGGATTTCACAGCGCCTAAACCAAAAAAAAAAAAAATCTTTCTTTAAAATATCATTATTTTTAAATAAAATTTAATTTCTATAAATATGCTGATAAACTTAAACACATTTTGTTTGATTGTAGCAATGGTAGCTATGGCTAGGGTTCTTGAACAAAAATTCATGTGTGATGAGGTTTCTACATTTGTTGTAAGTTCTCAGAAGATTTTTTAAGGTTTATAGGGGAGAAGGTTTCCATAATGATTGTAGGTGAAGATCTGGCAACTATGGAGGTTTGGGGTTTTTTTTTTGTTTTACAGCATATCAACCTCAATGGGTTATTTAATGCTGACAAAATTTTTATTGCTGGTAATATTTTGTTTTGTCAAAAATCTATTTCTGGTAAGATTTTTCTTTCAAAAATGTATTACTAGTAATATTTTTTTTTTCAAAAAGTTATTGCTAGTAATATTTATTTTTTAAAATCTTTGTTGGTAATATTATTTTTTTGCAAAAACGTATCGCTAATAATAGTTTATTTTTCTTCAAAAATTTATTGCTGGTAATAATTCTTTAAAGTATTTCTGGTATTAAAACCTATTTTTACAATTTCATAGTGTTTTTACCCCAGTTTTAGGGTTAAGTATTTGCCCATAGCTGGAACCCTAACAGGTGCTACTACCCCGGGTCAGGGTGTACTTGGGAACATCAGCAATTATGAGATGTTTCCACGCTCTTCAAAAGCTCTTAATCAGAGACCTTGCTGCTGGATGGAGTTTATCATCTTACCCAGGATAGGCAGCTATGGAGGCTTAGAGAATTGTCTTTTTTTTCTACACTTAAAGTATATTAACTCATTGCTAATTACACACCTTCATAAGAGAGGTACCTCAGCATAGACTAATGGTTAACAAGGTTAGTCTGGTTGACAATTACTGCTGATTAGTGCCCTATACTGGCAGCAAACCACCTGCATATGGATAGAAAATGAATTCAGTAAATATACTAAACAGAAAGTTAAGACAAAGATGTATCTTCTCACCAGACTTATTCAACCTATACAATGAGGCTATTCTGAAAGAATTATAAGTTCTACCAGGATTCATTATTGGTAGTCACAATCTTAACATAAGATGTTCAGATGACACAGTATTGATAGCAAATATAGGAAGGTAACTACACAAACTCCTATGAAGGGTAGTGAAGGAAAACGAGAAGAAAGGACTAAACATCAACTGGAAGAAGATAGAATGCATGGTTGTTAGCAAAAGGAACAACCCAACATGCAAATTAAAAATTAGAGATACCAAAATCAAACAAGTACAACAATTTAAATATCTGGGAAGTGTGACATTGAAATCCAAAGACGCATTGGAATAGTGTAAGATACCTTCCAAAAAATTCAATTAGAAAAAAAGAAAAGAGTATTGAATTGGTACATAATATCAGTCCCTCTATATGGCAATGAATGCTGGACAATCTTCTCACAGGTGAAGAAGAGACATGAAGCAACAGAAATGTGGTTCTACAGAAGGATACTGAGGATAGCATAGACTGAACATGTGAGCAATGACAAAGTTTTAGAGAAAATGGAAACAAAAAGGATACTTATAC